AACTGCTTCCTCACATCTGCTTCATGAATATGAAGAGTTGTGAAGAGTTCCTACTCCTAGTAAGATGATGTTTGTTTGGGTTTGGGGTGTTTTTTTTTTTTTATGTATAGACATTCATGTGCCCTTTGGGATGATCAGTAGTAACACTGGTTATGACCAAATACCTACAAATATAATGGCCTTCCAATAACTTTCAACTGTACTTTGGGTTTTGTGTCAATTACAAAATGTTAGCATTTTTCTCCCCATTTATGCAGAGGGTTGATGCAGAGGAGGATGATATAGAGATAGGGTGAGATGGAGGTAGATGAGCCTCTGTGGCGACCCCCAGGCACTGGCTAAAAGAAAAAAGTCTGTTTCAGTATGTCAACAGGCTAAACTAAGACAATTAGCATGGTAAGCCATAAATCTGCTAAGCATCAGCTATTTGAATTTATGAATGGAGCTGTCAAGGCGTTCAGGTTACAAATGACAACATCTTAAATCATATTTCAGTGAGGAGGGAAAAATGTGGTTTTTAGACATAAAAACCCCAAGTGACTCACTCTTGAAAATCTTTTAAAGCTTGATTAATATTAGTTCCACAACCTTTTAGAAAATATTTTAATACCATAGTATTTTTTAATAAAGGACAAAATTGTTCACAATTATCTCTTTCTCTCTTTTTTGTGTTTTAGGGTTTTTATTTGGATAAAATGAACACCAGTGTCATATAACACACAGGTTACCATTGTGGTTTAGAGGCTATTTTATATCCAGAGTTGGTGGTTTGACCCTTGACACAGACACACATTTCTATTATAGTACCCATTACCATCCATGACTGAATGCCTGAAACCCTAAACTGACTGTTTGTGCAGTAATTGCACTGAAGAACTCTATGAATGTGGATATTTTAGAAAAAAAATATAAACACAAGCAGCTTTATCTTCTTCTTGCCTTGCAATTCTGCGCACACACAGAGGCAGTTATCACAGCAGTAGGATTCTGCAATTGCTTTGCAACTTGGTCTTGAGTTAATAGAGAACTGGAAAGCCAAATTACTGAAAGTAACTGGTAGAATCCGTGTTTGCCATGGAAACAAGGCTAAAATCAGTGTCTCACATGCTATGATGTACAACACTCTACAAATCTCTGACTTTAATAACAGAAGATTTTCTGAACTTGTCTCACTGGGAGCATTTCTGTGTCTGTCCTTGAGGCAAGTCCAGTAACAGTGTTAAAATGTTCCAGGAACAGAGGGAGGCATGCGTCATTGCTCTTCATGGGCCCCACCCCCACCCCTATTTCATACATTTTGATAGAGACGAGTGTCTTCAAGGCAGTTAATGTGGCCTTTTCAATTTCCTGTTTGGTTCTCTGGATTTAATACTTTTTATGCTTCATTGATTTATAGCCAACCCATCAAAAGCCTCATGCTGGGTGATCATTCACGTCTGAGTCGAGCCACACTCAAAACACTGGAAACTGCCTATATCCTTGGATTCTGGGGCAGGTTAAAGTAACAGCTTTAAAAAAAAGGTTTAAACTGACGATAAAAATAAGCTTCTTTGTTTGTTTCAGTGAATCAATGCAGAATTAATTCATGTTATATGCATAAATAATATGCATAAATAGCTGCTGTATGTGACTCCAAATACCTCACACAGGTGACACATTTTTCTTCCGCACAGCATCCCAAAGTTGTCAAAACACTGGGTTCAGGGTGTGGTGTCAGGGCAGGCTGACCAGAACAGCCAACAACCATCGTCTAATCATGTCTGTCCTATTTGAGTATGATGCCGAGACACCAATTGACAAGGATCCTTTGTGGTCACACGACTAGTGAGGACCTAGACTATGAGGTGGTACGGTTGGATAGGGGATGACCCACACAGATATATCACATTCAACCTCCTAAAAGCATGGAGAGAGGCTGGAATTGCGTCTCTGGTGATCCAGGTGAAGGAGAGAAGACTTGGAGCCAGAGGTGCCAAATTCCACTATTTCCCCTCTCTCCATTGTGATGACCATCTCACACAGGAGCAGACGTTGCTGCATTGCAACAGCATTTTACAGATGTGTTCTCCTCCCTACCTGGCCGCACCAGTCTCATTGAGCACCATTTCGATACATGCCCTGGCATGCCGGTGTGTTCACAGCCCTACAAGTTACGTGAACATAAGAGACAAATTGTTCAGAGGGAATTGGCTGCAATGCTAAAGCTGGCAGTAATAGACAAGTCACACAGTGCTTGGTGTAGCCCCATAGTTCTTGTGGTGAAGAAAGATTGGTCTATATAGTTCTGTGTTGACTATCGCATGGTGAATGAAGTGTCACAGTTTGATCCCTACACCATACCCTAGATCATCGAGCTCCTGGACTGGTTAGGCATGGCTTACTTTTTCACAACACTGGATTTAACCAATGGCTACTAGCAGAGGGCCTTCTCCTCTCCGTATGGTTTGTAGCAATTTGTCACACGTCCATTCCGCTTGTTTGGTGCAGCAGGTGGACGCAGTCCTGGAGTACCTGAGGTACGCGTGGCCCACGGCCAAACCAAAGAAATGTGCGGATGAAGGTACAGTATCTGAGGTACCACTTGGTAGGTGGGCAGGTGTGTCCACAGATGGATAAAACTGCAACCATTGCATCCTGCCCATGTCCCAAAACCAAAAAAGAGGTGAGGTGGTTCTTGAGGCTGGCCAGTTACTACCGCCAGTTCGTTCCCGGCTTTGCATAACTGACCAGCCTCTTGACTGATCTCACCCAAAAAGGTGTCCCAGATCTACCGACTGCTGCAGTGGTTAGACTAGGAGGGACAGCTCCATGGCCTAAGTGGGGTGATGGGGGTATGTGGCAGGGTGTAGGGGAGGGGTGGAGCAGTGGGTTCAGGTCGTGGTGTTAGCAGAGGATGACCAGAAATGCTGACAACCATCGTCTAATAATGGTTTCCCTTTTGAGTGTGCAGAGCGGAGGGACACAGCTGGAAAGCTGCGCAGTGATAAATATATTGTGGGATACACTGCAAATAAAACACCATCAGCGTGCAACGCAGTGTGCGTGGGTCCTTATTCCTGTCACACTTATGTAATATGATTGTGTATCCTTTTTATCTCTTAGTAATTCTTGATTATGTCTTTTTTTGTCTTTATTGCTGAGTGTCTGGTTTTGCTCATTCTGTATCTTTTTATCTGTTCACTTTGCTTTTCAATATTGATGTTTTATGATGTTGCTTTGTATCCAGTTTCACTTGTTTAGCATCTGCAGGTTTTATTTCTCTTTGCCGTTGTTGGTACAGGTTTGTGGTTGTTTTTCATTCTGTAGTTTTGTCTCAATTGTACTTTTGCACTTCCTTCTACTCATTTTATTTCATGATCGTGTAAGCACAATAGACTGACACTTTGCACAATTCAAATGTAATTTTTTGCGGGGGGTTAAAGTATTGGTCATCTTGTTGCATGTCTTTGTGGCCTTTTGACTTGTTTCCCAAATCAGAAACTGCTTCTTCTTGGTCTTTTGGGTAATTCATTCGTCTGGCTTCTCTCTCCTGTGTGGATACCAACAAAGAAACTCAACTGGAGATTTAATTAAAGCAGCTCAATATTGATACCTAAGCTTTGTTTAGCTGCTGATAAAAGGTCGCGTGGTTGACTGGAGGCGTTGCTTTCAGTTCATTGGTTCCCTGCGGCGATTTCTTGTGTGTGCTGTCCGTGGTCCTGAAAGTAAACAGCATCGCCAGCGGGCCACAGTGGCCTCTGCGGGCCACGCCTTTTGGAGTCCAGTTGACAGTCTTAACTCGACCAGCATGCAATTTGGGCTTTCTAAGTAGCACATGCAGGAATTCAGATGTTAAAGTTCTGACTAAATGTGAGTCACGCACATCACGCTGCCCACTCAGTGCCTCACAAATTGCGCACAGCAGGGGACCGGACCCTGTACCTTCTGGAGCGTCTGAAAGGCGCAGGCGCAAATGTCAGAGTTTTATGAGTAGTTTCTTTTTGGAAACAAAGTCCCCCGCACGCACGCGACGCAAAGACGTGAGGAGGATGTTTTTTCTTCCACCACATCCCAGACTTTGAAAATCTGTCTCCTCCCCGCGCTGCGTCGATGCACTTGTAGACTAAACAGCTGTCTCACTTGGCTTTCTGCGTGTCTGACGAGGCGAGAACCCCGAAGGTACTGACACCTTCATCATCATCATCATCCTCCTCCTCTTCCACCTCATCGTGGTGCCGCAGCAGCCAAAGCGGTGAGTGCGTCCTGCAGCAGCAGCAGCAACAACAGCAGCAGTAACGGCACCTGTCTATTTTTCCCAGGACGGGCTTTTCTTGTTTTTTTAATTGTCTTAGGAGTGAAAACAAGGTAGAAACACCGCCGCAGAACCGTAAATGCCGATAGCTCCATGTGCAGACATTTGCGCCGGTGAAAATTAGGCATCGGTAAGTTGCTTTGACTTGTTTTCCGGGGCGAACGCAGCGCGCTCTCACTCACATCTGTGGCTTTCGATGTGACTGGTGAATTAAGGAGGCATTCAGCTGAAGCCTGCAGGTCTTTAAAATGCTGTGTGTGTGTGTGTGTGTGTGTGTGTGTGTGTGTGTGTGTGTGTGTGTGTGTGTGTGTGTGTGTGTGTTTTATTGAAAAATGGGAAGCAGTGAATCCGTTTCGAGTGAATGTGCCGTGAAAAGGGGAAGGCTGACGGTTTTTTTCCTGCTACATGTGCAAGCGAAGGTCACACACATGCCTGATGTGTTAAAGATGTGCGAATGTGGGAATAAAGGAAAAAGACGGGGCAAAAAACAAATCGCCCCTTCTGTGCGGTTTAGCGAAGGAGAAAGCAGCTGTCACTTACTGTGTCTTGTGTAGACTGATTTCTTCTCCCTGTGATATGATAGAAATCAACTGACGTTTTGCGATCCGCGGTATGTGGGTCATGTGACCTCTGTGCTTCAGCAAAGGAACATTCATTGAATGTATGTGGAGGTTTTGGATTGCGGTACACGTTCACGGCATTGGAAGTGGGTTGATTGGACGCGGTTTTCTCGGATCGCTTTGAATTGGAAATGATGTATTGATGCAACACAATGTTCTGGGGAATTCAACGCACATACACGGGAAGAGTTCTGTAAAATCCCCTTTGCAGTGAATATAAATCTTTAAGGAATCTGCGCTGGGTCTCAGATTTTCTCTCTTGTTTTTGTCATGCATCTGCTTATAGACACAAACACACACACAGAGAGAGTCTTTTGGTTGATTGGCATCTTGGTGAGTGGATGTGTTTCCCAGTGTTTTCTTTTCAGCTTTTGTTGACATCCGTGCCAAACAGATGTGAGTAAAAACTGTTATAGCTTCGTCTTCTGCTTCATGCAGTGAATAATCCTGAATAGTCCCATGGCTGCAAACCTTCCAACATTTCCTGGTGACTCAGTACTGAGCGAAGCAGACTCTCTTGGCTTTCTTGCCCTCAGGGTAGTTCTGCCCGTCTGTTGTTTTCTGCACCAGAGCTTTCTCAGGACCAGAGAGACATTGATTTGCTCTACATAAGGCCGTTTTTAACTTCATTTGAAGCCCAGAGCAGCGTGACTGCTTTTGGGTTAAATAGATGGAGTGTGGGGAAAAAGAGCGGACCAATCATGCCAGTCCCCGTACCTATCTGCCCCTCTCTGGGTTTTTTTTGTGCATTTCGGTTTGATTGCTCACCCTGAAAGTTTGCTTTCAGCCCTGTTGGACATATGTCTTCCTCCTCTGTATCTCTGGATTTTTCCTCTGAGCACACTCTGTCCTGTTACTTGATAAAGCATCCGAGAGATGCTTTAGAGGTAATTGGGTTCAGTACAAGAAGGAGGGGATGCAGAGTGGAATTTGTTTCTATGTGTGCATGAATTATCTTTAGGAGAAGGTGTGCATGTCTGCTGGTTTACTGGTTGTGTGCTTGTTATGTGTTTCTGGTGTTGCTGTGTTTTGTGTTAGCAGTGAATCATTGTGTTTTCAGGAGGCTGAGCGGATGAGTAAGACATGAAGTCAGGGAGGTTCGGGAGGGGGATGTTTTAAATTCTGACCCGAGGCACATGAATTTAATTATCTTAAAGGAAATTTAGAAGAATCTTCCAAATTTCTTGCCTTTTGGAAATCAATTTGTCTTCCAAAAACCCATGTTCATGTTTTAATTTAGTGAATAGATGATGACATCTCTATTCTGTTGTTTATTTACTCAGTAAAATGTTGCCTATGTGATTTAATCAAAGTGTGGGGTGCTTTAGAGACAAAATATCAAATCATGCACACCCACTGAAGGCCTGTGTTTGTTTATATGTTTGATGTGTCCTAGTATGAGAGTTAAGTTGTGCTCTGCAGTATAAATCAGGGTGTTTTTGCTCGTTTATATTCATGTTACACAGCTTAGGCAAACAACAAAATCCAACATTTGATGGAAATGTACAGAAATGCACTGAAGGGCTGCACCTGTTATTATTTGATATGAGTTGACAACTGAGCTAAAATAACCTGCTGGTTAATTAACTACTTAAATTCATTGTTTTGATACACACACCAAAAAAAACACATCTAATTGTTCTTTTTCTATTTTTAAGTGACAATATTATCTTTTTTCTTCAGGGTTACTAATTACATGAAACAATACCTGATGACAGAATTGATTCTCATGCGCATGCGCATTGTTAAGTAGGACTGTGTGAGGCCCATGTAAGTGTGTCAGAAGGTATGAAGGTATGGTAGGAACAATAAAACACATACTTTAAAAGCAGAATTATTTAATAGAGTTGCTCCATAAAACGTCCAAAGATTGCCTTGAATAAAGGTTAAAATGAAAGATGCCACAGTGTCCAAAAACTGTTATGTAACTCTTATAAAATCAACTCAGTATGAATAAAGGCATCAGGAAGCATTTCAGTGTAATTTGGCTTAGACTTTAGCATTAAATTAGCCACTAATTATATTTATAGTACACAGTTCTTTCAGTCTTTAGAAGTGCACTGTGATTTAAAGTCTGTTGAATAAAGTCTTGAAAAAATTAAAAATAATATTTTTTTAAAAAAAGATGACGTTACAGGTCATTCTGGCTTTGTGTCTCGTTTACACAGATTCATTCACTTCATCTGACATGAGCAGTGACGTCAGCACTTGAAATAAAGCAGAAATTCTCAAGAACGAACCATTTTAGTCGCCACAATTAGCAGCAGTAACATTATTAGTTTACACACGTGTATCTGCAAATTGTGATTCTTGTTATGACTCAGAAAAACTTAATGATGTTGTTGAGTGATGGTTGTTGTTTCTTCTTCTAGTGTTTTTTCTCTGTGTGCTGTGTTTCAGAGCCCTTGATGAAGCACGGTGACGCTGTGGGGAGCATTTTTAGTGCATCCCTTTGAAAACACACAGGCACACACACACACACGAAGATAGCAAGGAGCCTTTTGGATGCAAACACTTCCCAGGGGATGATGAGAGGCTTCCTGCTGACTGCAATCTTTCTGTTGCCCTTGGTGAGTAGCTTCTGGGCACTTATCTGTATGTTGTCCAGATTTGTGTGTGTTTGTTTGTGCGTTTGTTTGTGCGGGTGTTCAGGAGCATTGGAATGCATATATCCATCCATACGGGTATGTTTAGGTCTCTGTTATTATCCTCCTGTTCCTCAGCTTGAGCCTGGTTTATTTTTATATCCACACTTTTGCTGATGTGTTTGTGACAAGCAGTAGAAGGATGGAAATCACCCCCATGCACACCACATCAGCATACGTTACAGATTCAGGATCAGCTCATCATTAAGGCAAGCACAAAAACAGATGGCCTGACTGACCAGAGAACTACCCATCCATCTGCCATGACTCACTTTTCTGTGGTCTCATTGAAATGAAAAGCAGAATGGAAGAGTTGTGCAAGGTGTGTGGGAGGAATTATATTCAGAGAACTGATGCAGCATAGCAGCTCTTTCCTTTGCCAAACCACACAGATGTAGAAATTGCTTTAATATAGTTAATATCGTCCTTTTCGTGATGATGGTTTCTTTTTGCCTTTGTAGCTGCTAGTAAAAATTTCACAGCAGTGCCAGCTGATGATGGTGACTCAAATGAATTCATAAAGTGACCTGGCAGCCAGAAACATTGTGTCCAACCTTGAAGTCACCGCCCCCTGACATATGTGAAGTGCTTCTTCAGCTGACATCTTTGAACAGTGCCCATCTAAGGCTGACCTTTAGCGACTGTTGTGGCAGATATGTCTGTGGTGATGTACTTATTATGTGTCCGATGGGTCTGTACAGTGGGCCAGTGGTCTGCGACGTCATCTGAGAGTTATTATCTGTGTTGTGTGGTTCTGTGGGTGCTACTGAGTTATCTGGCTCTCGTAAAAATAGCCTCGAGGGGGGAAACTGAATTCTGCAGCCTCAGAATGGAGGCCATATCTGGATAGACATCTGTTTGAGAGAAGAAGAGTTACAGGGAGCAGAGATTAAAAAGCACGCTTAGAAATATATTGATGAGCCCTGTACTTTTACGCAGCTTAGTCATGCCTGTTTTATGTGTCTTTTAAAATCAAATACAAAAATTGTCACGAGTCGCTTAGAGGATCCACTCGCAGGACTCCTGGGTAGCGTTCAAACGGAGATAGTTTATTACAGATCTTCACCAAGTGTATGTACAGACAGTGCGAGGTTAGTGCTATATACAAGACGTGAGGGGCAGGGGTCCAGGCCTCCAGGGAACACGGGGAAATCACACACGCGCTCAAAACAGCCTCTCTCCACTCCGCTAGCGACCTGTCACTCCTTCCACACTCCACACGGGGAAACACAGGGATGGGTCCGGGGAATCTAGGAACAAAGGAACACGTTAAGTCTCTGAGACAGAGGCACGGCAAACTTGAGCTAGGTGTGTACTGACAAGAGCCTTCACAACAATCCAGCGTTGAACAGCTGATCTCCTCCTTCTAATATACCAGCTGGTCTGATGAGGCCCAGGTGTGCACGATCCGGGAAGGCGTGGACCGAGGGCGTGAACCCGCCATGAGTTCCGCTCCGGCAAAACAGGGGAGAGGGAGAGAGAGAGGAAAAAGAGAAGAGAAGGGGGGCTAGGAGTGAAGAGATGCTGATCAGCGCCTTGCCGATCCCGCAGGTCGTGACAAAAATGTTGATGCTCATAGTTCTACCATCAAGTTTAAAAAATACTGATTTCACATTATATACTGATATTTCCGCATGAAAAAGGTGCTAATCACAATATTAGCTGTCTTATTGTGGCCTCAAGACCCATCACAAAAGTCTTTAAGGTACCAAGGTTTAACAATATCTGAAGCTAATGTTAGCATAAAGATTATCATTAAGAACCATTGACTCAATAACTGCTTAAAGCACATTCTTTTGTATATTAGAGCTACGATGTATTAAAGTGGGTAGAAATTCTTGCTAATATTGTGGGTTTAGATCACAGCAAGCAACATTATTGTATAAAAAAAGGCTCTGAAAATCCAGTGTAGGCTGTGCTAAAGTTAGCAAATAGCAAGGGAAGTCAAATTAAAGCATTTAGCAGGTAACAGCATTAACAGAAGCTTTAGGACTCCAAAACAGAGCTAAAAGGAAAACTCACAATGCTGTCTGTCCCATGTTTAGTCAAAATACCACATGCAGGCTTGTTTTGTTTTGCCACACTGCAGGGTTGTAGTCAATTCAAACTGATGTAAATGGCAGACCTACAGTACAGTACCTTTGGAAGCTCTAATTAAAGAAGTACCGATACCAAGTAGCAGAGTAAACCAAAAAGTTTTACTTTTATTCAGTTTTGTAACACAGAAAGATACTGCTAAAGCTATAGGATAAAAACACATCTCTGAATATTTTATTTCCCATGTACATTTATTTTCTCTCGCACAAAACTGCATAAACAACGTTACAGTTATTTTAATGCTTCAATTCTAAACAACTATGATACTGTATTTATCTATGTTTCCATGAATATTATGTATATTTGTAGGTTTTGCCTTTTTCTTAGCAATCTCTCATTTTAAATCATAATTGTAAATTTTGGTCAAGCTATAAATTAAACAGTTAACTAAGATCCAAGATTCAAAGATTCAAGATTCAAAGTGTTTATTGTCATATGTACAAAGAAAACCATTTGTTTGTACAATGAAATTCTTTCTTTGCTGTCCACAGGCAGATGCCCGGTTAATATATGCAAATTGAAATAGAACAGATAAAATACAAACAGTATAAATAAATAAATAAATAAAGACAAAATTTAAGTGTGAAATAGATATTAAGCTATGAGCTTAATATGCAAGATGACCTGCATATGTGCAAAAATTATTATTACTGTTAAAATATGTCAGCTGTTCAAGAGACTGATAGCAGTGGGGAAGAAGTAGTTGTTGAGGTCCTCATCAATGTTCCCTCTAAGCTATTGCACACTGCTGGCATGATTGGGCACAGAAAAAAAATCTAACCTGAATTGAAATTAAAATTAATACTTTAACAATTCTGTTTTGCAGTGTTAGTCAGTAAGTGACTGGCTGCTCCCGTATAGGATTAGAACGATGCCACCTTATCCCATAGTCCAGCCAATAATGCGATTCACATTTGTATATAAGCAGCTAATCAACATCGTTGACAGGCTATGACAGCGTCCTTATGTGCCGACACCGGTGTTTTAGCTAGCAAAGCGGCGTGGCTGATGTGGAGTGAAGCCACGTTAATGACAACGTGCACAACCATTGGAGATGTGAGCAGGACAGACGGAACAAATGACGGGAAAAGTGTGGACTTTATACCAGTTTTGATTTTGCGTTGATAGGCCACGTAAAACCAGAGTTATGATAAAAATATATGCAGTGTTTGTTTTTTTCCTGAATGCAATCGTTGTTTATATTTACTGCGGGAAGAAACGGTAAAAACAGTGTTTTATAAGGAAAACGCTCGAAAGCCTGCGAGCAAAAACACCCCCCACCCCTCCCAGCCTTTCCTACTGGTGGAAAAAAGTACCATGTCGACCAATCAAAAAATGATATGGCAACATGACATTTAGTTGTTTAGGAAGGGGGAAGTTTTAGCAGTGGCGGCGGTGTTTTGAGATGTGAGAGATTTTCGACGTTTAGCGCAAATCTTGTGTAGTTAGTGTGTAGTGTAGTCAATAGTTGTTTTGTGTGTCAGAACAATGAGGCGACTACTGAATGTTACAGGTGTTACAGGAGTGATACATCTCCTGTTGTCAGGCCTGCAGGTATGCATATATCTCATAGTGGACAGAAATTATCTTTTGGACCAGCACAAATAATTTGGGTGGCATCAAATTTGATGCAGAACAGCTGATTGTTCTGTAAAAGTTTGAAATGTTTATTTAAAAAAACATTGGTCATTATATACTGTATTTTGCAGACATAACTTAAGAGTTGTCTGCCAGTCTGGACGTGATAGAGCCACTGGTTGCTAGGGAAAAATGTGTTTTCCCCGGCTGGTTAGCAGTGGTTCCTGGAGGTTGTTGACTCTTACTGGGTACAATCAGAGGTTAAAAATGTGCCGCTCAAAAAAATGCCACAGTTGACTGTCATTTCTTTTTCATGTTTCTCTACAAATACTCAGTAACTTACATATGGAACAACTTTTACTTTGAAAGCAAACAGTCTCCAAAATTTACATTTTTTGCCAGTACACTATCTCCGAGCTAAGTTTTACATTTCACATTTTTATTTCCATTTTTTAACAAAAAGAGTCTTTAAATAGTAATCAGTAAATGTGTAAAAAAAAGTAATATGGAACACATTTTCATTTTAAAACAGCACATTATACTGTATTTTGTTTGTTTGTTTGTTTGTTACAGTGTAGGCACTGCTTTATAATGAGCTTAAAAGCATTTTGATTAAACATCAGGTCACATAAGTTGACCGTATTTCATATGATCTCTTTTACTAGATGTATAACTGTGATAAGACTATGTCAAAGCTTAGCAAGCTTACATTTTCAGGCACTTAAGTTAGCTTGTTGTCAATTGCAGCTGAAAGTTACTGACATCAACAGCACACAGCACTAGACACCAAATGTAAAAATTACTTCTGGTATAATGCACTCACATAAAAATGTCCTCAAGCATGAATGATAACAAAATAAACTCCTGTAGCATGAACTTGCAATGCTTTCATAAAGTATTAGCCTTACTGAAGTTACTCTGCAGATAGAATCAGTAAACATCATTCTGAGTAATCATCACTGCCTGCAAACATTATGTTTACTACACTCATAGCTACATCTTTGGATTATTTCATGCAGAAATACAATTTTAAAGCTTATTTGGGAACAGGAAACGGTTCATATACACACATGCACACATGCACAAAACAGGTGAGTAACTTGAAATGGAATGAACAGCACATTTCATACTGTCATCTTACAGGCCTGCCTGCATTCATGCTAAACAGATATTAGTCATCTGCATCCAATTATTTCTCATTTCTGAATCTTTGCCTACACTGTGTGCTGACTCCTGGCTGGTAACCTGCTGCTTAGCAACATGGATGCTTGTGATGGGTACAGAGAGGTCTTCCTTTAAAACACTCCACTAGTTTTATTGAAGAATACCAAACGGTTATTAC